AACACGTTAACGAGCTAACTGCGCTAACACACTAGTTCCACCCATGTAATTGAGCATTGCGTGGCACATCCAACATACTGTTTTACTTTAGTCCATGACGCGCTTACCTTCAGGGTCATACGTCACATGAAAACCAAAATAGTTCCAAACGCCAGATCTGAATGAGGGTGGGGGAGGTTCAATTTGCCATGTTGCAAGGAGCTTACTTCTGTCTCGCTAGCTTGCCCTGCGCTCAGTGAATCTGCGTTCGACTACTCCGCCTAGGCTGCACTGTCGAGCGCAGATCCACTGAGCGCTCAACACAGACAGCATCGTCAGAAGGAAAGTTGATCAAATAAATTAAAAATGTTGTATTGTTCGATACATATGCGTACCGAAAGCACTGTATCGAACGGTTCAATATCCATACGAGTATCGTTGCACCCCTACTGTTTTCTGTTTCTGTGTGATTAGACGGACTGCTGCAGAGGAGCAGATGGTGGTAAAAAGCGACACTAACATCGTTCTGCTGCTTTGTAGTTTAGTTTTAAACGGGGTCATTGAAAGATTTCGAGTTGGTGTTTGCTGTGAGTCCAACATGTAGACGTGCGCACAGGAAGGACCTCACAGTACTGTCATGTACTTGTAAGCTCACGATGCAAGAACAGGATGTTCATTCTATTAGGATCTGAGGTCATATGAAATATTAGTGACAGACATGAACTTGGATCAACATGAATGTTTGATACGAGTAGACATGTGACCTCCTGTCTGTGGCCGAGCGCTGCTTTGCTCCTGGCACTCCTACAACGTTACCAGCTGTGGTGATGTGGGGAGTGTCCGTGCGGACTCTTTGGGTTTTATGTAAACCTGCTTTGCATGTCTTGTAGTTTTAGCTCCACAGGAATGATGGGCAGTCACAGGCTGAAGTAAAGCCAACCTCAGCATCAGTTCATGAAATCAATAATGTTGGTTGTAGTTTGGAGCTTCAGTCAGGTCCAAGGGTCAGCACTTTGTCTTCACAAACACCAGCAGTGATTCAGTAATAATAAGCTGTAACTTACACTTACAGTGGATCTTTGCTTCCTGCAGCCTGTTCTATCAAACAGGTCCTGCTGTCAGTAGCACACAGTGGTCAGCACAGTGTAATACGAGGCTTATTCTTTTAGCTGCAGAAGCCCCAAATCAGGCTTCATAGCACCGACCAGCAGCAGCATCTTCTGCTTTTAGACGACTCTACATATTTACAGCATCCTGACCAGTGAACACGGTGCAGGGATGTGTCACAGTCGAGTTTCTCGTGTGAAGATTTTTGCTGAACTTCCACTGCTCTATCTTTCAAAGAGAGGAGAATGAACCAGTTCTTTGTCTCCGCCCACTCTGATCTGTATATTCAGTCACTTCTGCCGGTGAAAGCTGGTGGTGTACAGCACCAGCCTGTTTGCACAAGACTAGAAACCAAACCCCACACCACGAGTCCCACTGCAGGTCAGTGAGTGAGTGTGTTTTTGTCAAAGCTGCCACTGCTCTGTTGTCAATAAAGCTTTCCTGCATTCCTAAATGTTTCTGTCACATTGATCTATTGAAGAGAAAACCACATAACCGAGACGATGCATGGAAATATTCAGTGTCATGTTGAAATCGCACGTCTGTCAGATTTATAGGAGGTTGAGTCACACGGCCTCCTCGGGAGGGTCTCCTTGTAATTAAACCACAAACTGATGAGCTCGCTGGGATCAGCATGTGACGTAGTCCTTTATCACAGCTGAGTGTCCGTGGATGGAGCACAGACAAAAAGGAGTGTGCAAATGAAAAGCGGAGCTACAAGTGAATTCAAAAATAAAATCAGCAAGAAACAACTTTTCCAGTGTAATTTTTAAAAATCTATATAATACCAGTTACCTCGATGCCTTGCAGCATGGAGTTCAAAGTCACCGCTTTGCTTTTGTTGCACACAGCATCCAAAACACCAGCTTATAATAAAAGTCAGTGTGAAGAAGAGGAAGGGCAGACGATGCAGTTTGATGCTGATGAATGAAAGACGAGGAGCTTTCCCCTCAGGACTGCAGTTCACGCTCCGAAATAAACAGCTAAGCTTTACAAACGTTAACATGAGTGCACACTCGGACATGAGAAACACCTCCGGATCAGACCTGGAGCTTCAGCACAGATCGAGGAAAGTCGTGAGGAAGCATTTCGAGCCCAGACTGACATCAGAGCTGCAGAGGACGACTGTGTCATCAACGCTGAAGCCTGACCTGGAGGAGGTCAAAGAGCCCAACAAAACAGCTACAAATCAATTGCAGAGATGCTGCAAACTGAAGAAGTGATGACACATCAACAGACATTCAGAAAAATGTGGGAAACTGAGTACGTGCCAGAGGACCCGGGTGGAGCAGAGCTGCTGCTCCGCCACACTGGAAGAAGCCAGGGGCGGATGTTCTGAGTCAATGTGTATGCCACCGTGTACGTCACCGTGTACGCTACATTTGTTGATTAGAAAAACACCTGGAAGACGATGTGACACCTCTTCACCCTGAACACATGCTCAGGATGCAGCAGGCAACCAGCCTTAAACGGGGCGCTAACAAACAGGACAACAGGAGGAGCTAGGCTACAGCACAGAGGTCACATGTTCCCTGATATTTAGATAAGAAGGATTTTATTTTAGGAAAAATGCTGTGATGTTACTCAGCATTTTTCCTCTAATAGTTTGTCAGTTTTCTTTAGTTGCACTAAATTATCCAGAGGATATTCAGGACCCCAGGGCCCTGCACCGCTGGGGGCCACCCAGGAGGCACATAAAACTTGAGATCTTGAAACTCTAATTATTGGTTTAATGAAGCTATTTTTCCATATCTCACCAGCGTCTCTCTCTCCAACACTGACAAACTTGTAATTTCTTAACTTAATTAGCTTTTTTAGAAATGTCAGATATTTATTTATTTAAAAGGAGAAAAAATATTTACCCCTTTTCTACTAATGGACACGTGCCAAAAGCATTTCCTGAAAATGGATGGGGGTTTCTGAGTTGTGCAGACTAATAACATTATTTCTAACGAATCTTCGTATATTCTTCAGTAACACTCACTGTTTTAAATGTTAACACAGAGTGTGCAGGTGGCCCGGAAACACAGAAACATCAACTCTGATTAGAACTTCGCAGTGATCATGTTCAACAAACGAGCTTTTGGACAGATGATCAAATCTGTGACCCCATTATATGATTTATAATTACATGAGGATCATCCCAGGCCTGAGAGGAACACGTGTGTCCAAGTATGTGATGAAATACATCAAATATATATTATGCAGAAAATATTCAATAATGTTAAGTGGAGAAGTGAACATTTAGTGGGGGGGGGGGGGGGGCAGGTTACAGTAGATCTACAGACACATTTAGTGTTGTGGAAATAAATCACAGCAGTGTTTCATTGAATGATTACAGTGACTTAAACTAGAGGATGCATTTGCTGCAGTGCGAATGTTGAGAGCTGAAATGTTCAATGTGCTGAATCAACAAATCTTTCAGCTGAAGGTGCAGAACTATTGAAAGCTGAAGTGTCAAAGTTGGAAAGTAGCTGAACATCTTTAAAATGTACGTTAGAAAAAGATGACTAATGATATTATGAACTTTAAATGTCTAAACTCAAGAATCTCAAAGCATCAGTGACTTTGTTCATCCTCTTCTGTGCCGCGTGGATGAGGAAGCTGACGTTTAGGTCCTGGGAGATGGTGGTTCCCAGAAACTGGTTTACTGTGTCCACTGGGCATGAAGGAAGATCAGATTTGCTGGTGTTGGTTTCAGCCTGAAGCCCACCATCATCTCCAGCTGGAGGCGGTTGATGAATTTTGTAGACTTTACTCCCATCATCCCAGCTCTCCCACCTGAACGTGATTCGTTGTGTTTATTTCACCAAAGATTCAGCAACTATAAAAATTCAACTCAAGCATCGAGCTGTAAGCATTTACATGAGATTTTCTTCTCATATAGACATCTGAAAGGAAAATATTCTTTCACCATAGATGCAGAAACACCGATGAGGGACTTTTTATTTGACTTTGTACAGCGGGACTTGTTTTTTCTTTCCTCCTGATTTGAACGTCTGCAGACGTCTCTGTGCAGCACTGCTCACTTCAACGAGCAGCTGTGGAGTTTCCTGAAAAACACTTTTGCGGTGACCGGTTATAAAATATGACTTTTGGGGATTTGACAGGAATCCGGGAGCTTTGCAGCTCTCCGCCTTATATGGCAGGGCTGAGCGCGTGCTCCGTGCCTGTCCACGGGCTGCACGAGTGACCTGGAAGACAAACACGGTGTAGAGGCGGAGGACACGCACACGCACACAGCTCTGTCCGCTGCGCTGTTGGTGAGTACCTCTTCTGTCATACAAACACAAAACACGAGGAACAGCACAGAGAACACGCGTGGAACATTTCACACTGGAAGTTTTAGCCGAGCTAAGCTCGCTCAGCACGTTCAGCCTGAGTGTCACGTGACTCGTAACTCCGTCTGTGGCGCTTCCACCTGCAGCGGCTCACCCACGCAGGCCGAACATGGAGGCTTCGTTTGCAGGTAAACGGGCTCTGGTCACCGGAGCAGGAAAAGGTAAAGGAGACACGCACGCACGCACACGCAGCGACACCAGCAGGCTGCTTTATGAACAACATCCACCTTCGTGCAAACGCCCCCACCAATCTCAGTGTGGTCACGGGACCCGAGACTAATGCTACGTTCACACTGCAGGCGAAAGCGCATCAAATCAGACTTTTCTGACCCTCTGCGACTCATATCCGATCATGGTGTGACAGTGTGAACGGCACAAATCCGATATTTTCAAATCCGATCTGGGTCACTTTCGTATGTGGT